CTTTATAAACATCATCATTCAGGTCTTGTTTCAGAGCTCTGTTTTCACAGATCTTAATTCATATCACAATTTCATGAAGTATTACAAGTAGTCTTTATCAGATTTCTTATCTCTTTTTTTAATATTGATGATTGCAGCTCAGGTGTTCTCTGTCTGACTCACAGAGTCTCTCAACTTATTCTCTAGATAGGTCTTGAGAACAGATCAGTGAGATCTCTGATGATCATTCTCTAGATAGTTCAGTCAGTTCTTGACTTCAGTGTAATAGAGATCTGTTATTATATAAATGACAGCTTCTTCATCTTTCATGTCACACAGCTGAGCTTGTGAGTCAATTTCAAATACAAACTTATAAAAGCTTTTATAGATTGTGATTCAATAAGTGATCTTAAGTGATCACAGCTTAAGAAAGTTTCTTTTCAGTTTGTAAGTGTCTCTGAAGATTATGTCTAGAGACTCAGTTTAAGAGTGTTTGTAAACAGTAAGTATTTCTTATAGAAAAATAACTTGATCTCATAAGAGATGCTCAAGAATGTTCTTCACTGAGATTAATTAATTTATGAGTTTGAAGAATTCCTCTGTCTGAGATGCAGAGAATGATGTTCTGTAAGTGATTGATGAGTTCTCTGAAACTTCTTCTATGAAGATTATTCATAATTCAGATAGCTGCTTCTGAGTGTCTGCAGTAGAGTTCACAGAGATGAGAGTATATAAGTTTCTAGTTCTTTCAGTCATAATGAGTGATTGCTGACTGACTGAGCTTGAAATGTAAGAATAAGTACTCACAGATGATTATTCAGGTATTTGCAGCTTGATATGATATATACTGTTAACTACTAGAAGTATTCACAGTAGAAAGATAAAATATAGAGATTAAATGTATAATAGTATTCAAGCTGAGTTGTGAATAGTATTCGTGAACTCCAGTCTATATAGTTGTGTGTAGCCAAGGGCCGCTAGCCCTATTGATTACACAAGAGATAGAAATAGAGGTAAAGAATCCGCGAGAAGCGGGATTTCTTACAATTTCAAATCTTGATAAAATGAGAATATCACTTCTAAAAGAAAGCAATTAGTCACTACTAAGAGAGATTGAAAGAATAACTTATTATCTGATAAAGAGTTCAAAACTATTCAAAATGAATATTTTTCAGATATTAAAAAAGTCAAAACAGATTGCTGAAACAAATTTCTTAAAGAAGTATAAGAAAAAGAAGTTTTTAAAGCCTTTAACTATACTAAAACAAGAAGTGTAGCAAAGCTTTCAACCTCAGAATATGAATTTCAGAATGAATTGTATACAGTAAACTCTTGTAAGAAAAAATATCAAGCTTTTATAAGAATTCTCTTTCAAAACTCATCACATTTAGAAGAGAAGAATATGTCATTTTATGAATATATTAATGAAAATAACTGAGAATGATCTGAGCTTACATGTGATGAACTAGAGTCAGTAATATTCTTAAGTTCAATTGAAACTGCTGTAGAGCCTGATTCAATTAATCACTTGATTATTTAAAACACATATTTCTACTTAAAGAAAGAATATTTTGAGCTCTTTTTCAATCTCTTAAAAAATGATTATTATTCTAAATACTAGAGAGAAGCTACTAAAGTAATTCTTACAAAATCTAATAGAAAAGCTTCAATTTCTAAGTTATATAGAGTAATATCTCTGTTGAACTGTTTAGAAAAAATTCTAGAAAAGATAATAGCTACTAGATTATCTTTTATAAGCTCTATTAGTGATTCTCTTCTATTTAATGAATAAATGAGAGATAGAAAACAATGTTCTGCAATTAATACTGTTCTCTCAGTTATTCATAATATTCAAGTAGTAAAGCATGAAGATCTGATCTCAACTGCAGTTTTTATTGATATAAAAGATGCATTTGATCATGTTTCAAAGTCTAAGATAATTCAAACTTTGAAGATATTAAAACTGTCACTTTCTCTAATAAAATGAATTAATTGTTTCATATCTAAAAGAATTATATAACTATTCTTTGATGAAAGAAAACAAGATAAAACTGAGATAAAAATAGAAGTATGATAAGAATCTTCAATCTCATCTGTTTTATTTGCAATATACACTACATATCTATTCAAGAATAGAGAGATGAAAATAGTGAGATCTTCAAGTGATGTAGATAATATTGATCTACTCTACAGTTTAAAGATAATCAAAGAGAATTTAGAAGTAATTGAGAAAGCAGTAAAGAAAATCTTTGTTAGAGTAGATATCAATCTAATTCAATTTAATATGAATATATCTGAGTTAATTCACTTTTTTTCCAGATTTAATGAGAAATAACTAAGTCTAACTCTTTTGAATAAAGAGATTAAATTCAGTTTGAATGTCAAATGACTAGAAGTATAATTAAACTTCAAGTTGAATTTTAAATATCATATTCAATAAAGAATCATTAAGACAGAGAGACTACTGAATAGTATAATCAGACTATCAAATACTGAGAGAGATCTATTCTTTCAGACTATGAGATAGTTATACATAGCCTGTATTATCTCAGTAGCTGATTATGAAGTTTAAGTTTGATGAAATAATCAAGATAACTTCACTGAACTCTTTCAAAGTCTATAAAACAGAGCTTTGAGAAGAATTCTGAGAGTATTCAAATCATCTTCTATTAAAGCAATGAAAATTGAAGCTTCAATTTCATCTCCTGCTATTTAATTTGAAAAGACCTGTATGAACTATGCTCTGAGAGTCATGAAGATGAGCTTAAATCATATAATCAGAGAAAGAGTCTCTTCTTCATTTTTATCAGTTAACTCAGGAAATGAACTGAATTGAAATAGATTTCTTAATTGAAATGAGAATAATGCTTTAAAGAAAATGCTCTCTCAACTATATAGACTATATTCACTTATTAAGAATCAATTTTCTTCATTAAATATTGAGAAAATTGATTATGAGAAGATATCTCTCTGAAGAGAAAAGCTGAAATCTCTCATAGACTTATAAATAAGTGAACTATCTAAAGAGAGAGAATATAAACAGTATTTGAAAAAGATCTCTATAATTAATATAAAATTATTATTATTATTATTATTCTTTCATTATACTCATATACAAGCGGAGCTTATAATGAGTCCTTGCGTGATGTTAAATACAGGTCAAGTGTTGATTATACAGAAGGAAATACAGGTGTTGAGACCACGCCAAGATAACAAGAACATAGGAAATACAAAGGAGTGACAATTAGATACATGCGATAATAACTTCCCAGCTCAGGAACATAGAGCGATTCATTGAAGCGATTTGTACACCTCTGTATTTATTAGAAACCTGAGGTGCTTGAGTTCCGGATTTAATGTATTCCCTGCGGGTTTCGAACCCACGCGCCTTGGTTTCCCACGCCAAGGCGCTACCAGGTGGCCGCATTAACCATTCGGCCACCGGGGCCAATTAATATAAAAGACTCTATTCTGATTTACTCAGATGATTTAAAAAATGAGAATTTGAATAGATTAGATACAGGCATTGCTTATACTGAAGATAATATTAATTTTATCTCAGATTTCTGAAATTTAGACTGTGAATCTGAAGTCTTTGATGCTGAACTATTTATAATAGTGAAAGCTTTCAAACTCATTGAAATAAAATCTTATAAAAGAGGAAATAGTTTAAAAGAGGCATAAATATTCTCTGATAATCAAGCTGCTTTAAAAAGACTTAGAAATAGTTAGATTTATAATGATCAAATGAATCTTGAACTGATTTTAAACTTTATTTTGAAAATTTAAAAGAGAAGAATATTAAAACTGATAATTTATCTGTATTAAGTTTCTACTTATATATAGACTGACCGTGTGACCGTGTCTGAGATCAGAATTAAACTTTACAGTTATTATATTATCTAAAAGTATTACTTCTGATCATAATTTGTATTTATTACATTGATCTCAAATCATATTATTTCAAATATTAAAGATTTCAGATTCACTTTTCAAATAAAAATCTAGTCTTTGTAATGTGGCGGAACCGAAGCAGTGACTAGTCAGCGGTGTTATGTAGAAGTAGTTGTTTGAGAAGCTGTATAAATGAGCTTGACTATCTTACTTGAATAGTAAGCTTGTAGGCTACAGAGTTATTATGAGAATATCACAGATATGATACTTAGTATACTAAGAAGATTGTATGAGACACACAGTAACTCTTATATATATTTCAGTAGAAGAAAAAACAAATCACTAGCTTCTTTAATGAGAAGTCAGTATCTAGCTATTCTATATAGATAATAAGTGAATACTCTTCTTTCATTTCATGAGTGAGAATAGCTGAAGTGATATCTCAGTAGTATCTTATTATTAAGAAAGAGTAATCTGCTGACTTTATATAAAAGTGAGATTCTTATATTTATCAATTGAATCTTTCTATGATATATCTGAATAATGTTATAGAGTGGTTGAAAACTGGTTCAGACAGAATAAAATCATCTATATAAAAGTAATGAGCTGTGTGAAACTGTAACAGAGTCTTGACATAGCTGAGAGTGTGATAATACTCTTCTCTTTAAGAGTATAGTCTCTATACTCTTAAGATTACTGAATTAAAAATTATCTTTGTTATATAGTAATGATTATCAACTGATTGACAGTGCATGTACTGCATGTAATATAAAGAAATAGATGAGTTTTTCTGCTAACTGTGTAGATCTTTCTTTTCTCATCTTTATTCAAATCAAATATGTGATAAATGAGTTTCTTATATATTAATTTAAAATGTGAAAAATGTAGTTAATAAGTGACTTACAGATCTTTTAATATATTCTGTTCTATGTATGAAATTCTCTGCAAAAGTGATGTGTTTTAGAGACAAAGCTAACAGTAGTGACAGAATTTTTCAAAAAGATCTTTTCTCTCTGTGACATATTTTTCTCTCTCTCTTCATCTGCAATAGTGAGTGTATGAGAGCATCATTCTTGAGAGATAATAAGAGACTTATTCTGATGTTTTCTAGTGAGTAATAAATATCTTCATGGTGTGGCTGTGGCCTCTGTGACTGTCAAGAAAGCCAGGTTAAAGATGAAGATAATAATGTCACTGAGCTGTGAGAGTACTGCTCTCATTTCCACATCTTCTTCTTCTTCTCCTGCTTCTCTTGCGGCCGTGGTGATAGTCACTGTGCCTTGCAGTGAGGTGTCATCTCTTCTGCTGATCAGTTTGTCTGTGTCTGGTTCTTCCCCTGCCTTCTTCACCGTCATTGTAATGCTGCCTCTCTTCCCAGCCAACACAGTGATGTATAACCCTGTGTAATTATTCAGAGAGAAACCTGAGAAGAGCTTGATTCTGAGAACAGTGACTCTGAGAAGCTCAATCTGTAGTTTCTCTTCTGTGACATATCTGAGTTCTGCTCAGAATGCTGCTGAGTTGAGTCTGCAGAGTTCTGTGATTTCTTCATCTTCTCTCTGTGAGAAGGCTCTGATGCAGTCTCTGACTGATATTACTACTTGTCTATACTGTGTTAAGCAGCTGAAGAAGAAGAGGATTTTATACACTTATCTCTTCTCTTACTTCTGTTATTTTCATTATATCTGTAATAATGACTTCTATCTCTCTATAAGTATTATTTCATAGAAAGATATTATGTCAGCTCTGATAAGAAGTCTAGATACTTAAGTAATACAGAGTGAGAATCTCAGAGCTCTAAGTATTGACAGATTCTATCAAGACTGAAGAGATCTCTCTTACTTATCTGTAAAAGAAGATGAAAGCATGAGTCTCTGAGATGAAAAAACATCTCAGAATAACTAATCTTAAGAAGAGATCAGTCAGTACTGCTATTGAAAGTGTTATAGAGATTAATTACTGATTGAAGAGAATCTTACTTCAGTTAAAGTAGATGACTGAGATGCTTTATAAGTTAATAAGTTAATACTTTCAGTATCTCTTATACTCTTCTGCAGCATGCTTCTCTACAGTGTCACAGTATTAACTTCTCAGCAGATAAAGATATCAGTGTCAGAGACTTCAATGATAAAGAATGAGTTTAATAAGAGTGTAATTATTAATGAGTAGACTCTGAGATTCTCTCTTTTTACTTTTTCAGCAGGCTGCAGTCTCATTAGAATAGCAGCAGCCTGCAGATCAATAATATTAATCTTTTTTATTAGTTTTAAATATTTCTTTCTTTTCTTATTAACTGCTTCAGGAATTTTACACTTGTATAGTCTCATTAAACTTCTAAAAAACCCTTTAAGAGAAAATAGAAGAAGAGTGCTACAGAGTCTATAAGATACTGACTTATCACTGTGAGATTATCTCTAAAAAATTCTTTGAGAAAAATGAGAAGTCTTAAGTAGTATTTCTTACTTAATATCTCTGACATGTAACAGAGCAGTCTCTACTAGCTGTCTTATAGCTTACAATCTCTTTCTCAGTATTTTTCAAATACTTAAGCAGTTCTTATAAATTCTCTGATAATAAATAATCTTCTCATTTCACAAGATATTAAAGCTTACTGTAATATATTCATTTATTCAATATTTTCTTCACAAGATATTTAGTATTACTCTTGATCTCAATATTATTCAGTCAAGACAGCTTTATCTCAGAGTGTTACTTATAAAGGTTTAAATAGAAAATGTGAAAAACAGAATAAATTGATTTCAATTCTGTGAGTAATTTCAACTTATATATTTACTTATTCATCACTCTTATTACTGAGAAAGATTCTAGTTATCACTTACTAAGCTTCTTACACAGTCTCATTATCTTAATATTCTTTATTAAAAGTAGTACTTAATTCTCTATTAAGAACTTCATTGAAAGATATTTTCAATTATAGTATTCTGTCTACTGCTTCTGAGTGTAGTGAATACTTTTCACTGTCTTCTCATGAATTTTGTTCAAAAGTTTCAATCTCACTTTTACTTCTGATATCAAGAAATACTCTGTTCTCTGTATCTGTTTAACATTCTGACTATCTATCTCTCTCTTTGAAATGTTATCTGTGATGTCACTGAGTAACAAAGAATTATATTTATAATAAGTATAGAAAGAGAATATCTTTAAGATTGCATTCTTTACATTATTATATATGAATTCAGTGATCAGAAGATGTTTTAATCAATTATTCTGATAATATAAATAGAACACTTGAAGATACTGTTCTAGTATCTGATTCTGATGTTCAGTCTGATTATCTATCTGCAGATGAAATACAGTACTGAGAAGACATCTTATTATAAGATGATAGCAAAAAGCTGATCAGTATTTGCTGATGAAGAGGAATTCTTAATCTATTATCAATAATTTCAGAGCACTGTGATTATAAATAATGATATCTAAAAACAGATCAGTTAATTCAGAGGCTTTAATCTTTTTATAAATAGAGATATATCTGATTATCTTTATGAAGCAGTCAATAATGACTAAAATTGAGTCATATTCTTTGACTCTTGTTAACTTCAGCAGATCAACTATGAAATTCATTGATAGATTCTGTCATGAGCTCTTTGAAACAGGCAGTGATATCAACTCACTGTATTACTTATATCACAAAATCTTTATTTTTTAACAGATATTGTAAGTCTTAATATACTCTTTAATATCTGTCTGAAGCTTGTTTTAAGTATATTTATATTTTAGAAGCTTCTCAGTCTTCTCTAATCTGAAGTGCTCTGTATGAGAATCATTATAATGAATTCTCAATAACTTCTAGCACACTGCTCTACTATAAGAGATGAAGACTGAATTATTCAGCAGTAGAAGTTCATATTCTTCTAGTTATCAGTGACTTGATTTCTCAGCAGCACTGCCCTGCTCAGAATCTGTCTCTTTCAAGTTTAAATCAGATTCTTTCTTCTTCAACTTTTAAATTCAAGCTGCAGTAGAGATATTCCTCTTCTATAACTTATTAATGAATTTCAAAAGTAGTCAGATTGAAAGATTGTAGACTGTTTCATTCTTTGTTAATTCAATAATAGTAAGATATAACATGAGAAGCTCATAATCTTCAGTGTCAGTCTTCTATGAGAACCCGGGTTTTCTTTCACCTTCTATACTGAGTCATGCAGCTGTCTTATCAGCACTATTTCTAAGTTTCAGAGAATCTCAATTCTCTGCAGTCAGCTTCTTCTACAGTGATGACAGAGATTCTTTTATAGAATTCTTCTCTGTATTAACAATATTATAATCAGGCTGTTTAGATAGTATATCAGCAGGGTTAAGTCAATCTGAATAATATCAGATATAGAAATCATACTCTGAAAGCAGCTCTGTTCATCTGACTTGATGTTCTATCAAGCTCTTTGTTGTCAAGAAGTAACACAGATTTACATAATCAGTGAGAACTTACACTGAGTACTTACTACTCTGAAGATAATGTCACTAGATCTTAAAGAATTTGATAATTATTAACATCTTCTGATCATGAGTATCATATCTTCTCTGTGTGAGTTATAACTTCTTGAAGAAGAAGATGACTGATCTTTATTTACAGCATCTTATAGACTCTGTGAAAAAGTCTTCTCTCACAGACAATTCATTGCCTGTTTTCTCAGAAGTGATTATTCTTTAATTCTTTCAACATTGAAAGACCTCTGATGTCAACTGTGAAAAGATTTCACAGATTCTATTTCTGAATACATCAGTCTCACACTGACTGAATAAGTTGAGATTAAAGTGATTCAGTATTATAATATCTATGAAAGCTTGTTTCAATTCTGCAAACATCTGCACAGTGTCTTGAGTGAGAATAAACAGTTCTATTTTTCTGTCTTTCACACTTCTCTTTAACAGATCTGTAAGAAGAGCAGTAATTCATGAATATATATAGATGAATTGTCTGTAGAAATTCACAAATTCTAGAAATATCTGCATCTCATAATATGTCTGCAGCATCAGTCAGTTCTCAATGATAAAGACTCAGCTTCTGTTCATTGAAATGTCATTCATCTCAATAATATAATCTAAGAAATCAATCTTCTGTATGTAGAATGAGTATTTTTCAGTGTTTGTATAGAGTTGATACTGTCTTAAGTGACTCAACACTTCTTGAACATGAGTATTGTATTCTTTCTTCATTTTTAAGAAGATTAGAATATTATCTAAGTATATTATACAGAAGATGTTGACAAGGTCTCACAGCATCTTATTTATATAGATCTGAAAGATGACTGAAGCATTACAAAGATCAAAAGGTAAAACAAGATATTTAAAATTGCTATACTTAGTATGAAAAGTCATTTTTCAAACATTATCTTCATTAACTCTGATTCTATGATAGATATCTTATATATTAATCTTCAAGAACATCTTTACTTCAGATAATCAATTAATTGTCTTATTAATTAATAATAATAAATAGCAATTCTTAATCATTATCTTATTGAGGCCTCTGTAGTCTATACATAGATATAGTCTATCATTCTTCTTGAGTATAAAGAGTATAGACATCTCTGCTGAACTCTTTGATGAATATATTCAGTTCTTTGATTGCACTTCTTCAAGATATTTACACAGAACATTTAATTCCTTTATAGATAAGTTATAAAGAGACTTATACAGTGCTGTTACACTGTCTTCAAGACAAATCTTATATTATATCTTGATATCAGAAAACTTCACTGCTTCTCTTTTCAAAAAGACATTCTTAAAATCTGTAAAGAGACATTATGTACATCTGTCTTCAATAACAGATACTGCTGCTAATTTTACAGTGAGAGTGATGACTTCTTTATCTATTCTCAAGTCTTAATCACCTGCTATACAGTATATCAACTCAATCTTTTTCTTAAGATTCTTTCAATGAAACTCTTCAGATTTCTCTATCACTGTCTCTTCATCAGTGAGATGATACTGCTATATCTAAGTGACTCAGTCAATGAGAGAATTACTTTCTCTCAATTATAGAAGATCTAGAATGACATTCTTATCTATGATATTGACTGTGTGAAGAAGCAGACTGCTTTTCTTGAAGATTTCTTCTAAGTCTGTAGTCACACACTTCACTTGAATTATACTAAAACAGTGACATTTCATTTCATCAGTAAATTTCATATGATCTGACAGATCTATCTTCTTTCAATTCTTCATTAAAGAAAATAAATAGAATATGAAGTTGATATTCACTTCAGAGTCAAGTAGATATCTCACTGATATCTTCTCATTCAGAGTATACATTGTGATTGTAACATGAACTCAGAGATATGAGAATTATTAATTCTTTTCTTTCTCTTCTTTATCTTCTGCAGATACATTT